GTGTGTGTGCATAAATGTGTGTATGTATGTGCATGTGTGTGCGTGCGTGCGCGCGTGTGTGTTTGTGTATCCATCCATGTAAATATATATGTATATATACAAATATACATATATATGCACATATTTACACTCGTACATATCTATATACACAAACACATTATATATATATATATATATATATATATATATATATATATATATATATATATATATATATCACAGTTTCCAAGGCCTACCAAACCAGGTTACATCGGTATCCGTGATGACCAAGCTCGTTGTGTTGTCAACCTGAAGCTTTGGCAGAACGGTCGGCCATTGACAAGACCCACGTCCATCTTTGTCGTTGCAACAATGAGGGGAAAGCCACCTGTTGGAAGGAATCGATTCCAGTTACATTTTAAAAACACTATAATACGCCTAATACAACGTAAGTATTTGCAATGCTATATCTTTATGTATACATTTCATTCTCTTTCTCTCTCTCTCTCTCTCTCTCTCTCTCTCTCTCTCTCTCTCTCTCTCTCTCTCTCTCTCTCTCTCTCTCTATATATATATATATATATATATATAATATATATATATATATATATATATATATATATATATATACATGTGCGTGCAGAAGAGCGTATGCCACCTTTGTGGGGGTTGCAGAAAACGGGGCCCCTGCTCTTGCAAACTTGTTCCTTATAGTTCTCCATGCCGGTATTTCTCATTCTTTTCTCTTGTTTTTCTTGCAATTACTCTGACATACTTTATACCTCTTCTTGATATCAAGCTTACTGGTGTCTCTATAGCGTTATAAATGAATATCACAAGCAACGAGAATTCCTAGAATTTCCCATTTTCCTTGTTTTTCTTTCAAGAGAAAATGTGCTTCGTATGAGGGAATCCGTGCAATATAGGGGGGGCTATATATATATATATATATATATATATATATATATATATATATATATATATATATATATATATATATATATATAAAGTGAGAGGCAGACACACACACACACACATGTATATATATATATATATATATATATATATATATATATATATATATATATATATGACACACATATATTTATATATATATGCATATATGTACATATATACATACATACATTTATATATACATATGTGTATATATGTACAGTTGTGGAATTATAATTCAGTACACTTGCTGGGTCCCACTTTTGTACATCTGGCAACCAATCGAAGTAAACATAGCGTAAAAGGGAAGGCTCGATCAGTAGCGACTCGAGGAGGTCATGACGTCACAAAAGATGCGATTCTGATTTTGAAAAAAAAAAACACATAGGGTTTATTTATAATTTTGGTCTTCAATTTTCAACAAAGATGGAAAATAATGATTTTAATGGTTATATTTTCATTGATCAATCATCAAAATAGCCCTGTGGATGAGTAGGGTGGGCGATTCTGTTTATGCATGAATGATTCTCAAGTGGAATTGCTAACAGTGACAAGGGCTTGTATTTTTCCTCAGCTTGAAGGAACTAAGAATACCTACTTTTAGTATTACCTCCATGCACTCAATGGATGAATGAAAGGTATTTTATTTAATGTGAAGGATACCAGGCCGGGCTATTTTTAGAATAGCACATATTCATGTTTACATCTTGTACAATATCCAACAGTGTTAAAGTTTCAATGGCTTTTCAGGCGTTTTTGACTTCATAAAGTCTTGTTGGCCTGGTACCCTACACATTAAATGAAATACCTTTCATTCATTCATTCACTGAGGGCGTAGAGGTATTAATAAAAGTAGGTATACTTAATTCCTTTATGAAGCTGAGTAAGAAATACAGGCCTATGGCTTGACTCCCACTGCGAGCAATTCAACTTGAGAATCATACATAAACATAATCGACCACTCTTCTCATCCTCGAGGCTATTTTGATGATTGTTCAATGAAAATATAACCATTAAGATAATTGTTTTCCATCCTTTTTGAAAATTGAAAACACCAAAATGAAAAATGAACCCTGTGTTTTTTTTCCAAAAACAGTATCGCAACTTTTGTGACGTCATCAGAATCTGACGCCATGACCTCGAGTTGCTACTGATCTAGCTTTAACCATAGCGTAAATAGTATTTTTGTGAATGAGGTTAAACCCCTTGGTAGTTTGTAACAGAGTGTGATAGGTCGAATATAAACAACCAATGAGTGTATTGATTAATATTTTTGGACACCAAGTAAGCTATTTGATCTTTCGTTTTCTTCAAATAAGTGATCACAAATGTAATATTAGTTACCGTTGTAGTGGGATATTTTTCAAATGCGATACCCTGGAATTGTTTGTTTATCGAAATGGCAACACCTATGGTGTGGAGGCGGTATTTCCCCATTCTTCCAACACAAGAAGTATCGTGACTTTATAATAAACCTCTCCGACAGGGATTTGAACCCCCAACTCCATTGCAAAGAATTTACAAGACGGCCACTCTAACCACTGATACATGGCCCACTAAAAGAGATGTGCTAGGAGCTTACTAGCATCCATAGACATTACCTATCTACTCATACATAAGGATAGCGAAGTTTTACACACGCTGATCATTGTATTCTCTGTTATTCCGTGTCTTATCGTTTTTAGGAGAAGGCACACCCAACATCGAACAGTTGAGCGAGAAAATACATGTTCGCTTGTTTCAATTCAAGCAACTACAAGCTAGGTAGTTCCAAAGAAGCTGAATAGCAAAGGTCGAAGAACCGACTCAGTACATGAGCTGTATGAATGATATTTTGAAAAAAAAAAAAAAAAAAATCGTTTGGATTAATTTCTGTCAATTATGCAGTTATTTTTCAATTTCCTTCTTTTTGTCAATGCACATTTATAGTATATGTGTATGTGTAGAAAATGGCATT